AGAATGCAATGACTCTGTCTTGTAAAGCAATTGTGTGCCCTCACATTATCTCAACAATGAGTTCAACTCGATGTGTTGAGTTTTGATATCATTGACCGTATGGTTGTTGAAAATATTTCTTTAAAGTGAATAGATTTACTAGAATCGCATAATCTAATTGAACATCGAGTAAAAAATTAGCAACAAAATAGAATTTTACGATTATTCTATCATTGTTCAGTAATAAATAAGACGTTTGCTTTCGTTCACTTTCTAGATGACACTGACATAGGTGCAATGGTTTTCATTTAGAACGACGACTGTACATGTAGTAGTTGTTAGAGGGCGATGCCTAACAGAATTCTCTTAACCCTTACTCTATTTAGAAACATGCTTTTTGATATATTGTCAATACAACTATCTTGTTCTTGTAGATTGGCGGTGCCTTGTCGTTAACATTACATGATCGTTAGCTTTTTTCAAAGACATAAACAGAATAAATGTTGCTACTTATACTTTTGTTTTGGATTGTGCAGCGAAAGAGGCTAGAATAGAAGAATCTATTATTACAAATCAATCACCTAAACGAATGGAGTACATCATCTTATAAATGTCTTGGCTAGGATAAGCTACATTTACATGTCATATGTAAAAGTATACATAAATTTTTTTCTTGTTCGTTGAAATCAACCAGTTTCTGTTTCGTATTTAATCCTTTTCCACTCAGATTTTAGTGACAACGTCAACATTTATATGATGGCCAATTCAAATTTTCATAACTTTAAAAATAAGAAAAGAAAAAAACCCATCGCAAAATCGTTTGATTCACTTTTTTTTCAATATTTTTTTTATCAATACTTGTGCGGAAGTTCCTGTGAATCCTTCACTTCTTTGAGTTCTCTTCGTTATCATGCTACTTTCAGTTTCACTGATCCTTCGATTGCTCGAAGACACTTAAGTCCCTCAAAATCATGTTATAGGTTTAGTTTGTAGAGTTTCATAACTTTCTCGGTTTCTCTGAATTCATACAGATTTTTGTCTACCAACAGGTTCTTGAGTTTCGTAGTTTCCTCTGTCTCAATAAGTTTCTAGACTTTGTTGATATGTTCGGAATCGCTAAGTTTCTTCACTTCATTGAATTTTGATAGCTCGTGCAGTTTGTAGAGTCACTAATAGGGGTACGCAAGCTCAGCTCAAGCCCACAAATAATGAGCCGTTGAAAACGCTCACTGAGACGAACTGAACTATTCGAACAGTTCATTTGAGCAAACTGACCTTTTTCAAACAGCTCATCTCACATGAGCTGAACTGTTAGAACAGCTCACTCGAACGAACCGAGCTTTTTCAACAGCTCATTTCAAATGAGCCGAACTCTTCGAACAGCTCATTCGAACGAACCTAACTATTTCTATGGATACTGGTAGGTTCTCGAGGGCTACCCTGTAGGGGTGCCCATAGGTCCTCAAGTCCTATTATTGGGGGATACCCTTGGGTCCTCAAGTCCTATTATTGGGGGGTACCCTTTGACCCTCAAGTCCTATTATTGGGGGATGCCCTTGGATCTTCAAGTCCTATTATTGTGGGATACTCTTGGGTCCTCAAGTCTTATTATTGGGGGATACCCTTGGATCTTCAAGTCCTATTATTGGAGATACCCTTGGGTCCTCAAGGACAAATGCTAAAGCTGTATTTTCGCTGTGTTCCACTGGGTAGGAGCCCATACAAATACCCATCAATCGATAGAGCATCCTCGATAACCCTATGGTCTGCCCGAACATGGCTACGTTTTATCCTTACAATAAGAGAAAAAAGGGCTCCTGAAATCTGATTGGTCTATTTTTGGACCAATCAAATGACAGGATTCTATTTCTCAGTGATGGAACAGGTGGGGACCCCTACATATACTGATCAATTGATAGAGCATCCTCGATAACCCTATGATTGGCCCGAACATGCCTATCACTTGTCCTTACAATAAGAGAAAAAGGGGCTTCTGGAATCTGATTGGTCTATTTTTGGGCCAATCATATGGTAGGATCCTATTTCTCAGTGATGGGACGAATGGACACCCCTACATATACTCATCAATAGATAGAGCACCTTCGATAACCCTATGATTGGCCGAACATGCCCATCACTTGCCCTCACAATAAAGGGAAAAAAATTTGAACCCGCTCGGATACCTTCCAGTAGTAAGACTTGAGAACCCAAGAGTACCCCCAATAGTAGGACTTGAGGACCTATGCATCCCGTATAGGGTAGCCCTGGAGAACTTATGGGTACCCCTACAAAAAGTTCAGTTCGTTCGAATGAGCTGTTCTAACAGTTCAGCTCATATGAAATGAGCTGTTTCAAAAGTTCGGTTCGTTCAAATGAGTTGTTCTAACAGTTCTTTCGCTCATTTGAACGGAGTTCGTGAGCTGAGCTTGCGTACCCCTAGTAGGGAATGCAATGTTGGCTTATGTGTAGCATCATGTTTTGAGACCTGTCCTACATTTAAACACTTATAATAAAAATTATATTATAAATGGCGAAGCTCTGTGATTGCTAGGATTTTCAACAACAAAAACGGCTCTTTTGATTTCCAACTGCACAAACTTTTAACAGCCTGTAATAAGAACTACTTTTCAATTAAATACGAACAAGTTTTTCGCTAAAAATAATCTCACCGCGAAAGGATTAATCTTGAGATATAATTCGATTCGTTATAATTCTCTTAATATTTCCTCATTCTCATGTCTTTCTTTTTACTTTCTCTTTTATTCTTTTTATATAAACCTTCGCTATTCCCATGTTAAGACAGGGTAAAAAATCTTCTCTATAATACGGACTAGAAATCTGAAAATGTAGGGTGATATTCAACTAGTTACAAGGGATTATACTTCCGGCTTTGAACGTTTTTGAATTTATAATAAGGGAGAATGAGTAATTTTCTTAGAATGACCAGGACTTTTGGAACACCCTATATGATCTTACTAAGATTCTATTAACATATTGAATCCTTAACATTCCCCCAGAAACATAGAAATTACGTTTGATATTTGTTGTTCAATATCTTCCCGATAAGATGCAGATAGAATCTTCTTAGGATTTTTCTACTGTAGGAGTTTCACATAGTTCATTATTTTATTTCATAAGATTCTGAATTTTCGCAATTTCCGGTAAAATCCTCAGATTCCTAGGTTTTTCTTTCGAAAGCTTACATCGAATTAGCATTGTTCTTTCTCGAAAAAAAACTCCTTGCAGCAATCTCATGGTGTCTTTTTTCGGGTCAAAAAGATCTTGGCAAGAAGTAGAAGTAACATAGATATAAGAATCGTTACGAAATCCGTCTTTTTCATAGGAAACTAAGAAAAGACTTCTGAATTTTTCTCTGCGAAAAGAATATTCTCGAAAATTTTACCTAATTTCCTTCTAAGAAGACGTATGTCTCCTAAATACCTCTTTCTCCCGCGAGAGAGGGGTGCATCTCTTGGACAACGACGATTCCTTTTCTTTTTCGTTCATTGTAGTAATTCCTAATATTCCAATCAATGCCCGATGGGCACAGAATGGAGTGACCGTTGCTGGAGGCTATAGGTACGGCAGTGCCACCAATCAACTTCACTGGCCTTATGGCCTCTTCGTTGATGATGATCAAACGATGGTCATCGCTGATTGCCACAATCATCGCATCATCCAATGGAAGATGGGTGATACGAATGGACGAGTGGTAGCTGGTGGGCATGGCGAAGGAAATCGATTGGATCAATTGTATCGTCCAACCGATGTGTTGATCGACAAAGAGACGGATAGTCTCATTATTTGTGATCGAGGAAATCAACGAGTCGTACGATGGTCTCGTCGTAGTGGCGCAACTCAAGGAGAAATTCTCATCAACTACATCGATTGTTACGGATTGGCCATGGATGATCAGAGATATCTCTACATCTCTGACATCGAAAACAATGAAGTAAAACGATATCAAATAGGAGACAAGAATGGAACTCTAGTGGCTGGTGGCCATGGCAAAGGTGCTGATCTCAATCAATTCGACGGACCGAGATACATCTTTGTCGATCAACAACAGACTGTCTACGTGTCAGACTACTACAATCACCGTGTGATGAAATGGAATAAAGGTGCAAAAGAAGGAATTATCGTGGCTGGAGGTCAAGGCCAAGGAAATGCTCCGACACAATTGTCGCATCCTAAAGGACTGTACGTCGATACGTTGGGTACCATCTATGTGGCAGACTACAAAAATCATCGAGTGATGCGTTGGCCTAAAGGAGCAAGACAGGGTACTATCATGGTGGGTGGAAATGGTCAAGGAGAAGGAGCAAATCAGTTCAATTTTCTCAGTGCACTGTCCTTCGATCGACATGGCAATCTCTATGTCGTCGATTGGGAGAATCATCGTGTTCAACATTTTTCAA